GCCAAAGTATCGATATCTCGAAGATTTATTTACGTCTATCGACGAAATCGGCTACTTTACGCTCTCCAACAACAGCGACGTCGTTCCACCGAGCGAGGTGCCAAATTCTGTTTTTATCTTTAATCACGTGGCATGCGACAAGCAGGATGCGGTGAGAGAGTACTTCTCGTTGGGCCACCACGCGAACGTCGACTGTTTCTATCTCTGTCAGACGTACGCGAAGATACCTAAACATCTGATACGCGACAACGCGAACCTGCTGATCCTGTTCAAACAGGATGGTACCAATTTGAAACATGTTTACAACGATCACGTGAATACCGACATGTCGTACGACGAATTTTGTGCGTTGTGTCGCGACTGTTGGCGAAAAAAATATGGATTCGTAGTGATAGACAAGGACAGTGCGCTTAAAGACGGGAGATACAGAAAAGGATTTAACGAGTTCGCGATACCGTAACGTGGTCGTTGTCGATACTTCGCCAGAGACGAACATGGCAGATGTACGTGAGCGTGAAAAAATCGCGAGGGAGATCGAGAAGACGAGCGAGTCGATTCGCAAGAAACATCGCGCTCTGAAGACCGGTAGAATCGAGGAGGACATGGCGTTAAAGAGGCATGTCAAGCCTATCATTAAACCGCTGCGGCAGATCGTTGACAGCCCCGGCGTGCTCACGATAAAGAGACAGTCGCGCGACAATGATGCAGCATCTGCCCCCAAGCGCGAGAAGAAGGAAGAGGTGGAAGAGGAGAAGGAAGGAGAGGAAGCGAGCGAGACGTTCGAGCGTTTCGCGACCTCGCGTAAATTCGATGATCGATCACACGATCGTGTACAGCCGATAACCTCCACCCCGTGTACAACGATCGTACCGACGATAGAATCGTTGGAGAACGTTTTCGAAACGACTGATGACTCACTAGCAACGAAGGTTCAAAATCAGCTGCAAACGTCGGAAGGTCGAGAGGTGTTGCGAGCCGGCTTGGGCCCATTGGGCCAACAGTACGTCGAGGCTGTTCTAAGGGGAGACAAACAGAAGAGCGATTACATGTACGGCGTTTACCTACACAAGGATGGATTGATGTTTGGCAATAAATGTTTCGACGTGGATGACGCGGACAATATAATTATCGACGACGTTCGATACACCGGTACACCCGGTCTTTACGAGTTGATTTTCAAGAGAATTCCCGACGATCTCCTCTACACGGAAGATGATATGAACAAGTACAAGAGCATGTTGCTGGCGACGAACGCGCACAAACACAAGCATCATTCGCAGGGCCGATTATTGAGCAACAGGGGATACAAGTACAAACATATAATCGCGCCGCTGATGTCGATGACACCCAAGAAACAGAGTAAGAAATCTGGAAAGGGATTACCTCGCGCGATGACGCTAAACGACAATGCGATCGATTACGTGCATTGGGACGATCCCAACGAGCTGGTGGATCGCCTATGATTGCTCGACGTTTCGCACCGAGCGGGCAACAACGCTCAAGACAACGAGATGTTGTCCATCATCGAGGAACTTCGCGAAGCCGGTCTTATTATAAATTAAATCGCGTATCGACGAAACGAGTCAGTCGAGTGGCGCCAGCGAGAAATAATACATTTTTTTTTCTTGCGTATTACGCGTCGAATCATGAAAAAGAGAAAAGTTGGCGCCGAGAGACGTCGACTCGTCGAGGAATTGCACGCTCCGGCGAGAAGAAATTTTCCGCGAAGGCGCTTCATAGTCCAGGGATACGACGATCTGTGGCAGGCCGATATCATCGAGATGCGTCCGTACTCGAGCTTCAACAGAGGCCACCACTACATACTCACCGTCATTGATGTGTTGAGCAAGTACGCGTGGGCCGTACCGCTCAAGAGCAAGGGTGGAAGCGAGACGGCTAACGCTCTCGCTGAGATAATTCGAGCGAGTGGAAGATGTTCGAAAAATTTACAAACGGATATGGGGAAGGAGTTTTACAACGCCGATGTGCAGAAGATCTTGAAAAAACACGACGTTAATCTCTATTCCACGTATTCGACGTTGAAAGCGTCAGTGGTCGAGCGGTTCAATCGTACACTCAAGAACGACATGTGGAAGATGTTTACATTCAACGTCAATTACAAGTGGGTCGACGAGCTGCCGCGTCTCGTATCGTATTACAACGCGCGCAAGCATCGCACTATCCGCATGCGACCCCCCGACGTAACTCCCGCGATCGCCGAACGACTCTTGGACACGGTGTACAGCGCGATAAAAATTGCTGGTCCGGCAAAATTCAGAGTTGGCGATTCGGTACGCGTGAGCAAGTACAAGACGATTTTTGAGAAGGGCTACACGCCAAATTGGACCACCGAAGTGTTTACGATTGTTAAAGTACAGCGTAC